ATATATATAGAGAGAGAGAGAGAGAGAGAGAGAGAGAGAGAGAGAGATAGAGAGATAATGGATCCACTTACTCCAAAAGTAAGTCTCTACTCAATAACTTATATTCTATATTAAATTTAAGCAATCCAACTATTGAATTAAACATCCATAATGCATATATTAAGTTTATAAATTTTTAAAAAATTTAAAATTATTTGATATTATGTTTCATTAATTCAAATCAACGTATATAATATTTTTATGATTATCTGCCAATTTGAATTAATGAAACAAAATATCAAATAATTTTTAAATTTTTTTAAAAAGTTTACAGACTTAATCTATGCACTATGAATATTCAATTCAACGGTTAGATAAGTTATTGAGTAGACTTACTCTTGAATTAAGTGTATCCCTCCTCTCTCTCTCTCTCACACACATATATGAAATTTACTTACTTCAAGAGTTCAATAAGTCATGTTTTTTATCAAATTTTAATGATATAACCGTTGAATTAAAAGTTTTTAATACAAATATCAAATCTACAATTTTTTTTAAAAAATTGAAAATCATATAATAATTTGTTAGATAAATTCAAATTAATATATAAAATACTTTTATAATTATCCGTCAATTTAAATCTTACAACTTTTATTCATTTGCTAAAAATTTTGTTTTATGAAAAAATTATTATTGTAACATTCATAAAACCTATCACTCATCACTTCTACTATTATCATTATTATTATCTTTAGTATCACGATCATTGTTATCTTATTTTTTTTATCATTGTTATTATTGTTATTTTTATTATTATTCTCAATAATATTTATTTTTGATTTACATCATATAGATAGATGAATAAGATAGATGATATAATGAAATTCTGTTAATGTGGAAGAGACTACTAGTTGTAATTAAACTTAGTAATGAAGTCAATATATATGCTACAAACTAGGCTTTTTGATCTCTAATTTTTTGGCCACAACCAAGGTAATCAATAACTGCGCGATGTATCAAGTAGGAAAATGGTTTTTTCTTTTCCTTTTCAAAAGACGTTTGCTGATAGAAAATAAATCAATCTGTCACAAGACTAATGATTACTCTACTAATTCATTATCCTGAGGTCACCACATTGCCACCAATGCATGCATGAGGAAACATAATTATACACCCACCTTAGTGTTGTTATCTCTTATATCGTCCACGTCAATAATATCTCTCCCACCGACATCCAAGGGAAGGAAACATCCTTCTGTGAGTATAACCATCTTGCTGTTGCATTTGTAGTCTTGTACAATAGCCAATAAGAATTGTGGAATATTGCAGAGAGACAAACTACGATGTCTCGCACTAGCTGTCTGACCATATTTTATATATATCTCCCCATAAGATTTTCAGAATAATAATAATTATATACAAATTACAAGTTCATATTAATTGGGTGTTTCTTAATTGATTGGACTTTGAAAGAGACATAGAAACGGAAAATGTTTTCAGGGGCAATAATTTTTGTATCTGCAACCGACACATTTATAGTAGTTTAACTTATGAACTATGGTACTTCATTTACGAGTGGCGAATTGGAAGGAAGAAAGCATTGAACTTTAACAAAAATAAATAAATAAAAGAAAAGTGTGAAATAATATGATCTTATTTTTTTAAGTACATAATAAAATCTTCTATCACTATTTCGTATATATAAAAAAATATTTGTTAAAAATATCAACTACTTGAATAAATCTCTATCATGATAATTTGGTCCTTACTTTTTAATCAAGAATACATAAGTTAAAAAAAAAAACATTGAATAGCAGTCAATAATAGTTGGCAATGTTATTAGAATGTTCTTTTTTCTAAATAGAAACGACACGTACGGGCTTTGGTAACGTGTGATGCCAGCTACTTACAATATTAAAGTGAAAGAAAGGTTCAGACAACAAACAGAATCCTTACCTCACACATACTCTCTCACTCTCGTGTCTTGTATAGCTTCAAATCTTTCCCTCCACAAGGGAAAGAAAGCAAAGAATTTATGGAAACCAACTCAGTTTCCAAGCTTCTGGTACTTGTCTTCACTGTTCTGTTTGTAGGTTCTGAGTTGATCCATTGCAGTGTCACCTATGATAGGAAAGCCATTATCATCAATGGCCAAAGGAGAATCCTCATCTCTGGCTCCATTCACTACCCCAGAAGCACCCCTGAAGTACATTTGTTATATATCACTTTTTCCTTACTACTTTTTGTTTGTTTTGTTTGAAGTTTGTTGATTCTTGTGTGTTTGTTTGAAATGTGTGTGTTGTTGTAGATGTGGGAGGATCTAATTAGGAAGGCGAAAGATGGAGGCCTTGATGTTATCGACACTTATGTGTTCTGGAATGTTCATGAACCATCTCCTGGCAATGTACCACTCTGGAATCTGGATCTTTGATTCAATTCAGTTTCAAATTCTCAAGTACCATCTCACACTTTTTTTGTGTGTGCTTTTTATAATGTTGGGTTGCAGTACAATTTTCAAGGGAGGTACGATCTGGTACGGTTCATTAAGACAGTGCAAAGGGTTGGGCTCTATGTCCACCTTCGCATTGGACCTTATGTATGCGCTGAGTGGAACTTTGGGTACATGCACTTTCAAGTTTCAGCTTTACTTTGTGGATTTCCTTGGTTTCTTGGTATGAATGCTTATTGTGTTCTTTGATGGTGTAGAGGGTTTCCTGTTTGGTTGAAGTATGTTCCTGGCATCAGCTTCAGAACAGATAATGGTCCTTTCAAGGTTAAGAATTTTAGTTCTATCTTTTGTCTTCTGAGTTCCGAGTCATTCTGCTTACTCGTGTCTTGAATGGTCTTAACCAGGAAAGTACTTTTTTTTTTTTTTTTTTACTGTTTTTAACTTTTAGGCTGCAATGCAAAGTTTCACTCAGAAAATAGTTCAGATGATGAAGAACGAAAAGCTATTTCAGTCTCAGGGTGGTCCAATCATTCTTTCTCAGGTAGGTAGGAAGTTCCTTTTACTTTTTCTAGCATAGGACCATGATAGCCGAAAGTGTTTCTTCAAAAATTGTTTCCCACATGGTAATAAGTTTCTGACTGAAAGTGAAATCTTGATGTTCAAAAGTTCTGGAGTGGATCTGGAGCTCACAAAATTCAAGCTAATAAATCACTACTTCAAGATTAAATTTTAACTCTGTCTCCATTTTTGTTTGTAATGTAATTTCTAGATTGAGAATGAGTATGGACCTGAAAGCAGGGCACTGGGAGGTGCTGGTCATGCATACACAAACTGGGCTGCAAAGATGGCTGTTGGATTGGGTACTGGTGTCCCCTGGGTAATGTGCAAGCAAGATGATGCCCCAGATCCAGTGGTGAGCCATCTCAAGTCCTTAAAGATCTTAGAGTTTGTTTGAATACAAATTACAAAAAATTTTGAGAGTTTATCTACTGAAAATAAAGAACTTTTTTGAGTAAAGAAGCTCTCAAAAGTTTTTCTGAGTTTGCATCCAAACATCCTCTTATTCATTTGCTTCAGTTGATACACTATTGGGATTATCAAATATGACTTCAACAATAGTCTTTTCCTCATTCTTTTTAGTTCATTATCATTAGATTTTTATTAAGGGTCTATCTGATTCTTCTCAACAGATAAATGCATGCAATGGTTTTTATTGTGATGACTTCTCTCCAAATAAACCATACAAACCTAGCCTTTGGACTGAGTCTTGGAGTGGTTGGTAAGTTATATTGTGTAGTTTTCTATGTTGGTTTTGAGTGAAATTTAGATACGGTTGTCTGAATTTTTTTTTATTTTTATCATTTTGATCTTGTTTCTTCTTCTTATTCCATTTTGGACAATAGGTTCACAGAATTTGGTGGTCCAATTTACCAACGACCAGTTCAGGATCTAGCATTTGGGATTGCCCGTTTCATACAAAAGGGTGGCTCATTTTTCAATTACTACATGGTTGGTCTCCTTCAATGATGTTTTTTTCTTTCCATTTAAACCAAACATACCTTTCCGTAATTTATAAACATAAATCTTACTCATGGGGTTAATGACATGTTGTAGTACCATGGAGGAACTAATTTTGGACGATCAGCTGGAGGGCCATTCGTTACTACAAGCTATGACTATGATGCTCCAATTGATGAATATGGTCAGATAATTATGCTTTCAAAACATGATAAGATTCTTTTATTATTTTGTTTTCACCATGAAATCACTTGACATCTATCTAGAACACTTGAATGTAATTTACTCAACTAGAAAATTCTTTTGTTTGTTTTTGTTCCATTGACAACCAAGTCTATGAAATGATTAGTACCCCTTAATTATTCCAGAAGATACATATGCACACACACATTGAATTTTTTTTTTGACCTCTTATAAAAATAGCTTTGTTTCATAATCTATCCCATCCTCACTTGTATTAGCAGATTGTAATCGAGTATTTACTGTGTTCAGGTTTGATCAGGGAACCTAAATATGGTCATTTGAAGGACCTTCATAAAGCTATTAAGCAATGTGAACGGGCTTTGGTTTCTTCAGATCCCACTGTCACATCATTAGGAACGTATGAGCAGGTCAGTTACCTCTAATGTAAAGCAGTAATATCATCTAGAGCCTATTTGGATATAAGTTAGAAGTATTTTTCAATAGAGGAACTCTAAAAAATGCTTATAAACTCGTACCCAAATAGGCTCCTAATCTTGTACTTTAAGATAAACTACTTTCATGGTGATAACCATGATCATGTCTTAGTTATCTTCCAGGCTCATGTGTTCTCTTCAAGAAATGGAGCATGTGCAGCTTTTCTTGCAAACTACAATTCAAATTCTGCAGCAAAAGTGATGTTCAATAATAGGAAATATAACTTGCCTCCTATGGGGTTCACATGAAGTACCAAGGATGGTCCTCCATCATCTATGTTGTTGATGAATGTTGTATTTGTAACAATGTTCTATAACTTGGGTGGTAGAAGACATGCATATTTATTGTAGCTAGTTGTATGCAATTACTATAGGTTGCAGTGTTTCAAAATATTTGAAGTTAATAGAGAAATAGTGGTAGTTATTTTGAAGTAAGTAATATATGCATTATGCACCTAATGTAGTATGTAATGTTTAGTATTTGAAGTTAATGAAATGAAGTTGTTCCATTGAAATTACATTCGACGATTTACTTTTTGATCATTATTAATGAAAGTTTTCTTTACAAAGAGCAAGAAATTATTGTATGTTTGAAATAACCTTATTTTATAAGATATTGCAAATATCAGTTTAATGATGTTAATATCGAATCATTGTAATCATCATTGTTAAAATCTAATTAACCATCAACTTAGTCGAGATATTAGCTAATAGGTCACTAGTTGAATAAGTGACTCATTAATTGAGCTATACAAACCGATATATTCACCATCTACATATTACATATGAACAACTATATTATGTTAGTATTTTTAGATTTTTTTCTTCGAGAATGTTCTTACGGAATCTTTTAACTTCTTGTCTAATTCAATTTTTATTTATCATATTTAATTTATTTATGAAATAAATTTTAATATTTTAAAAATAAATTATCAATAAATAATAATAATTTTACATCACAATATAAATTATTTATAATAAATCTAAAATAGAATTTATATATTTAAAATATTTATTTATAAATTTTTTAAATATATGTTATATATTTAAATATAATATTTAGTTGTATGTATAATTTATTATAAATCTTAGTTATATATAAATAAATAAAAATATTTACTCATTAAAATATAAGTTTATTATGTTTTATATATAAGATATATCACTTTAGTCACATATTTATCTAAGCTTTGTAGTGATACAGTGTTAAGTTGAGTTGCCTAACTATTACTAGGTGTGTACAGGTTCAACTGCTGATTAGATTAGATGGCATCATCACTGCTTCAATTTCATCATCCATAACTTTGTTGAATTTTAAAACTCTACAACCAACCACTGTTATATGTAAGGTGTTGATAGAGCTATAACTTTCTCACGACCCATGGAAGTTGAAATTCTTTGGCACATGGATTGAAGCAATCACATCTTGTATATACTGTAGCATTTGAAGTCATGACTAGATTGAAATATGAGAATAATACACATAGCAGTGATAGCACAAGAGGAGTACCATTAATAAACACATAGAGAAGAGTACTGATAGGCAACACATACTGCATGTAATTAATTAATGTGTAAATAAACACATAGAGGTCACAAATATAATAATACACATAGCATAAGAGGGGTACTGTTAATAAACTAACAATAACACAAAAAATATAAGTGAAAACACATCACATACCATAAAAGGGTTGCTGTTAATAAACTGATAATAACACATAATAATTAAAAATACATACCACATACCATAAGAGGGGTACTGTTAATATACCCGGATATCACAAATACTTATGTGTTATTCAACTACCAGAGGGGTACACATAACATCAGAGGGTACTATTAGCATCAAAGCAAGAAACTAACAAAGGGGTAAATATGTTCAAAGGGGTACACTACAAATGTAAACAAAAAATGACAAAGGGATACACTACACATGTAAAGAGAAAAAAAGACAGGGGTACATTGTAAATAGAAAAAAGATAGAGGGATACAATTGTAAATAGAAAATGATAGAAGGGTACAAATGTTCAGAAACAGAAAAGGACAAAAAAAAATGTGGACCATACACATTGAAATTAATGGAAATCCCTGACACCAACATTACACCCATAAGAGAAAATGTAACACACAAGCACAAAATGCAGACCTTTCTTGTCAAAACTACTGGCACGAAGACAACGGACCAACAATGTCGTGTCTCATATGACCATTTGATTAACCCTGTTAGCCACTGAACTGAGTGACTATGAGTTCCTGTAAACAAAAACAATGTCGTGTCTCACTTATAAAAACGACATCGTTTTTTACATTAATATCATCACGACATTGTTTAAGTAAATAAATTAGCATTATAAAACACATTTGAGCGTGTTATCAATTTAAACAGAGTTAATGGAAAGGATAACATTGATCCACTTTTAATTTTCTTTTTTTAAAAAGAAACAAGTTAGAACTTAAAAAAAATGAAGGATTAAATTAGAGTTCTAATTAAGCCTATTATACATTACCATTTTCTTCGCCAAAGGTAATGCTCCCATGACACGTAAAGCAAACTCCACTCACAGAGGGACAGCATACAATTCCTTCGGCTGGATTCCCCACTTTGGTTATTCACCTTGTCTCCATTTACTGTTTATAACAGAATCTAAGACAACATTTGCATCGTTTAATCTCGTTCTTGTGATTCTAACTCCAAGTAGTAGCACCAGCATCAGGTACCCTTTCTTCTTTCTACTGTCTTATGGGTGTTTGACGAAATGCTTAAGCAGTTTTTTGGGCTGACACAGATGGCACTGACTTTGAAAGAACAAGATGCAGCTCACTGGGTTTACAGAGGCGAAGGAGCCGTGAATCTTGTGCTCGCATACACCGGATCCTCTCCTTCTTTTGTCTGTTCTTTCTTTGTTATGCTGCTTGTTGCTGAATTGTGTTTAGATGAATGAACCCCAAACAATTGTTTATGTGTGTTGTGCATTGTGTGTGTAGATTGGGAAAGTGATCCGCATACGTAAGGCTCCGAGGAATGGATCGCAGTCAAAGGGTGCGAGTGTGAGGAATAGCATTGCTTTGACTCCACATGAACGTGTCCTCTGGAAAGATGTGCATCAACTTATTTCATCCTCGGACAAGGAAATTGTTGGTCAGCTATATGTGCAGCATGTTATGAAGCCCTTGCTTGGTTCCAACTATGTTGATGCTGGGGTATGTTAGTCACTTTTGCATTGTACCATTCATTTGGTCTCTGTAGTTGTCCTCGTTTGTAGCAATTTTATACTACCAAATAGTCTTCTCTGGTATTAGTGCTAAGGATCAAAACTTAACTTTTATTCATGTATAGAAACTAAAATTTATAGTTTTTTCACACAGGGATTAAATCATAAGATAGAGACAATTATTGTCTCTATCTTATTATTATTGTCATGTTGGAAACCTATTGACTGAAAGTAGTTATTTTAATTTTTTTATTATGCGTTCTTACCTTGGGCTTTGAAAGTGACCCTTACACACCTTTTTAAGATGGTTATTTTTTGTCCCTATTCTGATCAATTTTGTTATTGATAAAAATTAAAAATGGGTTCAGTGAGTTGCCGTGATTTTTGTAATGATCTGGTTAAGATGTTGCAGAAGAAAGTAAGTGCTTGTGAACCCTGACCTATGCCTCTTTGTTGTTTGTTAGATGTATGTCCTTGTGACCAAGGAATTCCTTGAGTTGGTTGAGAAGAATGTTACTGGTCAGCGTCCTGCATGGCGGGTTGATGCTGCCCGGGTTGATACACATTGTGATTTTGGCCTGCTCATGTCTGATCATTCGCTCTTTGTTCATGGTAATGAGATGTGTATCATTGAAATTGTTTCTACCCTTAACATTTTTTTTTTTGTTGCTGTTTTTCCTTTCAAATTTAATATGCAAGTTTTAGCTCTTTATCATATCTTGCTGAGATATCATCAGTTGCAAGTGTGAGAAGTTAGTACATAAACTTGTCAGATGTTTGAAAGTTCTGTATTAAGCTTCCGGTTTCATTTCAGGTAGTCAAGGATCTGGCCACTGCTTATCTGTTGAGATAAAGGTATGGTCTCCATTATATCACACATTATTACTCTTTGGTTTATTTTTCTCTCTTTAAAGAATACCTTAGTTTAAATTGAATATCTTTATCTCAGCTTCGCCCCTTTTCTTTCAGTCTTTCTCTTTTGCTTGGTTGTAAGAATAACTTTTATTTTACCTTGAAAAGTAGCCCAAATGCGGATTTCTTCCGCTTTCAAGATTCATATCTGAAGGAAATGCAATCAAAAGGAGAATAACTCGATTTGAAATGCACCAAACTCTGAAATTGCTTCAAGGAGAGGTACATCCCACAAAATTTAATCTGTTATGGTGATCCAGTGGCTGTGTAGTGCATACTTCCTGTTGTCAAATATTCTAGACTCAGCATTTAATTCTGTCTTTTGATTTATATTATAACAGTCAATGTCCATGGTTTTTTTAGCATTAAATCTGAGTTAGAAGTTCTTTGAATATGTTTGTAGATATCACAGCTGAGCGAGTACAATCCACTTGATCTGTTCTCTGGATCCAATGTAAGAATTCAGAAAGCTATTAGAGGTCTTCTTACAACTCCTCAAAACAATTTTCGTGTATTTTTGAATGGCTCTCTCATACTTGGAGGACTGGGAGGTGTTTCAAAAGATACAGATGTATGTATTGCTAAAGCATTTGAAGATGAACTTAAGTCAGTTATTCAAGCTGATGATGGTCAATGTACAGATAACTTATTTACTTTAGTTACTGAGGCGTTGCAAAAATCAGGAGTTCTTGATAATCTCCTAGAGGTTCAGAAGCTTGACAATATTGACATAGAAGGAGCCATCCATGCATACCATGACATTGTTTCTCAACAGTGCATGGTATGTAGGGAACTGAATGAAGAACAGGCACAAATATATACATCTTTGCATTCAGCTTCATTGGATGAAAAGTTGAGAATTGTGAAGAACTACCTGATAGCAACAACTGCAAAAGACTGCAGTTTGATGTTGTGTTTTAGACCAAGGAATGAGGGGGATTCTGGATCTGTGTACAATAATGTATATCTCGAGTCAACTAAACAGGCCTTTGATTTTAAGGTATGCAGAACTTTTCCATTATTATTGTTGGTTGAAATATAGTGTATAGTGCTTGCATGAATCTGTTAAGTTCATTTTAATTTATGCCTTTGATTTATGGCCTTGCTTGGGGATGCCGCTGCTTCTCAAAAACTGTTGTCCTATAGGTGCTATGAACATGTACTGCTGACTATCACTCGGAATTAGTTTGGTAAAAATGACATAAAATATGATGCGAAGTCACCTTAATCACCTTGGTAAAAGTTATTATACAACTGGTCCAAGTATCTAAAGTTACTAAAATCAGATATTATAAAATCAAAATTTAATGCATCCAAAGTTTAAATTAGGAAAGGATAAACTCAGAATTTAAGAGAAGACAACATGTTTTTGGGTATTTAATACTTTTGCTGTCACGGCAGCTTTGCAGAGCATCCCCACTGTAGTACTTCTAAAAGAAATGGCTTTTAAAAGAGACTAGCAAACAATTTTTATCAGACATAAATTTGTGATTTATTCTGTTGAAAAGGAAACTTAAAGTATGCATAGCCATTACCTGTGATTCCATTGGTTAAAAGGATTTCAAATTTATTGATCCCTTTCCCTTCCGTTTTCCCTTACTCGTGATTTGATGGTCTATTTTAAGTACTTTATTTGCATTACTTGAAAAAATAGCTGTTAATATCTTGTAGTCATTGCACTCATTTTTTTTTATTAAAGAGAAAGCAGTAATAACATGCAAAAGTTCTCAACATGAATATCATAATTTACATGATATAGTTATGAATTATTGTCTCCTTTATCCATAGGTTACCATTCTTAAATATCCTATTCTTTTTATCTTTATCTACCAAAATCAATTACAGATGTAGTTTTTGTGACATTGAGTTTCTTAGTTCATTTGCAATTTGATCCATATTAGGTGTATTTTATTGACCTCGATTTAAAGCGCTTGAGTAAAGTGGAAGACTACTATGAGTTAGATAAGAAGATAGTGAGCTGCTACAGACAAACGATCAAAATGGATCAAGAAGATATGAAGTGAAAGATGTTGTATAGTTAAATCGTTTGATAGTGTTCTTCTCTTCCAAAATGTTGTTGTAATACTAGTTGCAAGGTGAAGATGGAAACTGCTGGTATTTTGCTTCATTACCCTCCTTGCTTGCTGTACCACACTACTCTCAACTTTCTGTATGTTGGGGCTGTCATATTCCCCTGTGTTTGTATTTTTATTATTTTTCTAGTCCTAGTATTTGTTCCCTCCTGAAATAAAAAAAAAAAAAATTAAAAACGAATTAAGTATTTTGGGTTTATGTTGTTGTCTGTGTTTTATTGGTATTAGAAGGGTTTCCAATGAAGGAAGGAGGTTGGCATGATGACTTCTTGGGATGTTGTTTCTCAATTTGATTGTATAGACAAATGACATCTTCTAAGGTTCAGGATTGCTGAAGTTAGACTAAGCGAGTAATAGATGTGTTCAATCCTCCAAGGTAGCAAGTTATTGTTTTCTCATCCTTTTCTTGGGATGTGAGCTTTTCAAATTTTATGGGGTACTTCTCCTTGAATAAGGTCTTTTGTCGCAAATTCTGTAATTGACTAAAGTTATCTGGATAATAATGTTGAGGCAAGAAATTATGTGTAAGCTTGTCACATTTTCTGCCATTTTTTTAATCTTATTCTTCCATTAATGCTCACGTTTATTCTTAAGATTTTCCTACCATATGGAAGTGTGCTTGTTTAGCTTCATGTTATACTTGAACACACGTTAAACAGTTTGGAATCAATTTACAAATTCATGAGGTTAGAGTTTACCGTTGAAATAATCTCCACTCTAATGTCACTGCTATAAAACATTTACTTTCGAGTGCTACAGTTACCAGGAAACATCCGCTGCAATAATCATCATTTTCCATGTCTTTTTCTGTTCTATTTGTGCTTGTGCTTGTCAGCCTTCAACAACAGGTTGAAGTCGGTGGACTTAAAATCTCAATTTATTTTTTGGCCAAGTCTTTCTCTTGGAGGCATTCTGTGAGTTGGATGGAGGCTAAGGTTGTATTATATATATATATGAGGAGGGTTTAAATGACACCGGTGTAACTTTTATTAAGTGTTACACCGTTCAATAACTTTATATTAAATGTGAATTTTGAAAATTCAACCGTTAGATTGAATATTCAAATTTCTTAGATCACATATATCAAATTTTATATTAATCTAAGATGATTTGATACTTCATTATCATAAAATAAAATTGACGTAATATATACATTTTAAAATATATTAAAATATGAACATTTTGATTACCTTCAAGTTGTTGTTCAATTTTAACAAAATTTGACATATATGATCCAAGAGATGTGAACTTTAAATCTAACGGTTGGATTTTCAAAATTCACATTTAATATAAAGTTATTAAGCGGTGTAACACTTAGTAAAAGTTACTATATAAAGAGGGGTCCATTTAGTTTAATAGTAAGTTTGCTTAGACTTACTTTGTTCAATAATTCATAAACTACATCAAGTTTCAATGATCTAACCGTTGAATTTAAAGTTTTAATGCATAAATCAAATCTGTAAATTTTTTAAAAAATTCAAAAATCATTTGATACTTCGTTTCATTAATTCAAATCAATGTATAAAATAATTTTATGATTATTCGTCAATTTGAATTAATGAAATAAAGTATTAAATGATTTTCAAAAGTTTTAAAAATTTGCAGACTTAATCTATGCATTAAGAACTTTAAATTCAACGATTGGATCAATAAAATTTGATGTAGAACATGAGTCATTGAACGAAGTAAGTCTAGATAGATTTACTCCTGAAATAAACGAATCCCTCCTCATATATATATATCAATTATTAGATTGAAAATTCATATAACTTTATATGTTTGTATCAGATTTTGTTAAAATTGAACAACAACTTGGAGATAATCAAAGTGTTTATATTTTAGTATATTTTGAAATGTATATATTACGTCAATTTTTTTTATAAGAATAAAGTATCAAATCATCTTGGATTAATATAAAATTTTGTATATATGATCTAAGAGTAAAGAACTTTTAATTTAACGGTTGAATTTACAAAATTCACATTTAATATAAAGTTATTGAGCAATATAATACTTAATAAAAGTTACGTCAGTATTATTATAATCCTTCTCATATATATATATATATATATATATATATTAAAAGAAAGTTTTGATAGACTTATTCTACTATCACTTAATAACTCATGGATATATTAAATTTTAATAATTAAGTTGTTAAATAAAAGAAAATTAATGACTAGATAAGATTTACAAATTTTTACAAAATTTTAAAATTAATACTTCATTAGATTTAATTCAAATTGACACTTATTTACAAAACTCGTTTTGAATAGGTATGAATTCGGGCGCAAGTTCTTTTCAAATTGGGAAATAGTCTGGGTATTTAAGTCCCAGGCCCACCTTCAGGCATATGGTTTTCAAAATTTTAAAAGAATTTGTAAACTAAATCTTTATGTTAAAAATTCTTAAATTAACGGTTAAATTGTTAAAATTAGATATAAAACATAAATTATTAAGTGAAATAAATCTATAAAACTTATTCTTAGAATAAAATGAATCTTTCCTTTTATATATATATATAGAAGGGTTATAATAATATTCATGATAATTTTAAAAGTATTACATTCAATATTAGCCACCATCCTATTTAGATCCAAGGATTAAAATTATTCAAAATAGAGTCTGCATTTCAATCACGTGACTGACATTCTATTCTTCAACCACTAAATGTAGTTCATATTTCCAGACTGACGTTCCATTCTTATTCGAGAATCGCCAACTATTAAAGATTTTGAAGATGATTGGCAACATATAATGGAGGTATATAAGTTGCAAGACAATGAATGGCTTAAGAGATTATTTGATATTAAGGAATCATGGATACTAGTTTATAATCAAGACACTTTTTTTGGTGGTATGAATACCATACAAAGAAGTGAGAGTATCAATTTTTTTTTTGACTTATTTGTTGATGCAAGCACAACACTTCAAGACTTTGTGGTAAAATATGAAAAGGCAATAAATAAACGATATGAGGATGAAAAAAGAGAGGACTTTGAGTCTAGACACAAATCATGCATTTTGAGTATCGGCTCGAAAACTGAGAAGCATGCTGCATTAGTTTCTATTATGAATGTTTTTGGCAAGTTTCATAATGAGCTTACAAGTGTTAGCTATTTTACAAAGGAGAAGATTGAGAAAAATAGTTCACAATGAAAGTATCGAGTATCTAATTGTTTTAATGCTCGAGATACATTCATTGTTGATATAAATTTAGAGTCAAAGAATGCTAGATGTGGTTGCCAACTTTTTGAATCCATGGGAATACTATGTAGGCACACTTTGGTAATTTTTCAAGCCAAAAATATTATTCAAATTCCTAGTGAATATATTTTGGAGCGTTGGACCAAGGAAGCCAATAGATATAGAGGTTGGTGCTCTTGATATTGAGAATCATGAATCAGATGTTTTGAGAAGTATGCATGTGCAGTATCAATTTAAAAAATTTGTTGATTTGACCAAAAGATCAGAAGATGCATATAAGTTTATTGTAGGAGAATTTGATCACGTTTATGATATAGACTCTACAATTGGAACAAAAATGTCAAATATCAATGAAATTCCTCTAGAGCCAAACAATCAAAATTTGATGTTTGAGACAAATTATGATGATTCAAGTTTGAATATCAAGAATCCACATATATCATAGACAAAGGGTAGGAAAAGGAATGATTCTGACAAGTTGCCTGAAGATATAAGAGTGGTCTTGAATTGTCAATGAACAAGACCTTAGTCAAAAGGAAAACATGCAAATCTTGTGAAGAATATGGTTATTACCAATCAACTTGTAAACAGAAACAAATGTAATGTAAGTGTTCTTGAATTGTCTATTCTAGTTGTTATTTTCTTACTTTATATAGATGAATCAATTTTCCTATTAATTCTAGTGTCATAACAGTATGTTATTTTGTTATCAAAATAGTGTGTTATCGTTGAGATGACTGTAATGGTGGTGTTGGAGCTTGAGGGGCCGATTGGGAAGAATCCAATTCTTGAGACAATTGAAGACCGGAGATTGTTGGATTGTTACAACGGATTGGATTTTTACAACGGATTGCTGCTTATGCAATTGAATACAAGAGAAATTGGATTGGCTATTAGTGAAACATTGTTTTTATATTTATAGGATTTAGTTATCTTTTTTAATTTTTAAGTTGGATTCTTTTTCAGTGCAACAAGAATACGGATGGTAAAAATATCCGCATCTGCGAGTAAAATCCGCTACGGATAATAAATGGATAGAATATTGGGTACCCGCAGATAATGGGGATGATAATTTTTTACCCGTTTTTAAATGGGGCGGGGGCGGGTATGATGATATTCACACCCGCGGGTACCCGTTTAATAATATTTCTTAAATATCCTAATTATCCTTGTACCACATAACCCTAAAATTACACTTTCTTTTCTTATTTTCTTACAAAAGTGAGGTTGATGAAGTTACCAACATGTGTTAAGCATGTTATAGAATTATGTTGGATGTAATTTGATTAATTTTCTAGCTTTGATTGAACCAATAAATTTTGATGTATTTTAAGTTGTTTACTTTCGTTTGAAATTATGAGATTGAATTATTGTAGTTCTGTGATGAGACTTTAACTTACTTGTGAGATTGATGTATTTTAAATTATTGATTATCTTGCATTTTTATTATTATTTCAACAAAATTAACGTTAAATACAAGTTTAAAATTAACATTAATTTTTTATTTTTAATATTTTAATGACATTAAATATAAACTTAAAATTATTTATAATATAATTTTTTTAATTTCTTAAAAAAATTTATAAATATCCATGGATATCCACGGATATCCATGGGTATTCAAGAAATTCATGGATACCCGCTTAATGGATACTCGCGCGGATATGAGGTGGGTACGGGACCAATTTTCATCTAGCGGAACGAGGGCAGGTTTACTATTACCCGCCCCCATGGGGCCCCATTGTCATCCCTAAACAAGAACAAGTATAAATTTTATTAATTCAATCAAAGTATGAGTACATTTGCTACATGGAATTTCCAATTTCTACAAGAGTGTAGACAAATACAAAAAAAAAAACCTTTGTAGCTTAATTCCAATTTCTTCATAAAAAGCCTTCAATGATATTTGTCTCTATTGTAACTTAATTCCTTTGCATTTGTAGCAACCTTTTTCCTTAAAGTGATTATTGGGTGGAGTCCTGCACTTGTGCTTGAAATGATACAATAGTTCCAAACCAAACCCATAGATCCTAAAACAGTAAAATGAAAAAAAAAATGTCCATCACATGATAGAATTCAAGCTAAATTGGTTGGTGAGGCTGATCCAGTAAGGATCATAAAGAATGATAGGAAATTCAGAAAATCAGCAACCATTGTGAGTTTTGGTCCCTCGAAGGAAGAAAAGAAAGAAGAGAAGGAAGAGAAAAAAGAAAAGAAGGAAGAGAAAAAGGATGTTGTTTCCCATATTCCGAATTTGTGTCAGAGATGTGATGATGAGTGGCATCACGAGTATGTGACTATTGAAGATCAGTATAGTCACTATTCCATTATGTAATTATCTCCTTCTTGTTATTGTGCCAGTACTATTGTGAATTTCTTTATGAGAAATTATTTTTTATTTGTTACCTGAGTAATCCGGAAGTTATGCTGTGAATAAATCCATACAAAACAAGGTGCTTAATTTATTTACACGGCAACTTTATGAATGCAGTCGTGCATTATATAAACTTCTCACGTTGATTCTTCATTCTTTCTGTTGAAGGTGTGCAAATGAAGAAAACTAGTTACAGAAATTGAAGTTTTGGGTAATTTTTATGATGTTCATCAAACTAATGCTAGCAACAATTGTATAAAATTGATGGGCGTGGTGTGATTGCATAGACATTACTCAAATTATCAAGGAACGTGTTGATCCAGCTTGTTTGAGACATGGTCGCATGGATGTTAAGATATGCACATTCACATTTCCTATTTTGCTTTTTGAGTGAGTTTTATCAAAGAACTTAGCATCCATAATGCAGAAACAGAGAAAAGCACAAAATACACACAGATACAGAAAATGATCAAACAACAGCTTGATCTCTTTATTGAGTGAATAGCAATTTATATACAAGAGAATGAAGAATAAAAGATAACGAGAAAGAAAGCAGCTATAACAACCTAACTTCTTTACAACAGAAAATAATATCGCATAACTAATTATGGGTAAGAGCCCCCCTCAAGTTGGGAATGGATGTTCATCATGCCCAACTTGGAACAGAGACGTTCAAAAGACGACGGAGGAAGAGCTTTGGTGAAGATGTCAGCAATCTACATGGACGAGGATATCGGCAAAAGCTTCAAAGTACCATTGTTAAGACATTCACGCACAATATGACAATCGATGTCGATATGTTTGGTAAGCTCGTGGAAAACCTGATTAGATGCAATCTAAATGGCAGAATTGTTATCACAGTAGAGGATAGCAAGTTGAACGAAAGGAACGTGAGTGTCTTTAAGGATATAAGTGAGCCGCTGAAGTTCACACGTAGTCGACACTAGAGCACAGTACTCAGCTTTGGAAGAACTACGGGAAACCGTGGTTTGCTTCTTTGAACGCCACGAAATAAGGGAGTTGCCAAGAAATATAGAAAAACCAGTGATAGAGCAACGAGAATCACGACACCCAGCCCAATCTAAATCACTGAAAGCCTTAAGGCGCAAATCACCATGAGTAAGAAGGAAAATGCCAGAACCAGGAGAGCTTTTGAGGTATCGAAGGACACGAAAAGCAGCCTGAGAATGAGCAGTCATGGGATGTGCCATGAACTGACTAAGTTGTTGAACAACATGAGTGATGTCTGGCCGAGTGTTGGTAAGGTAAATAAGACGACCAACAAGTCGACGATAAGATGAAGCAGAAACATCAGATAGAGGAGTATTAGAGGTAGCTTGTAGATGAGTGGAGTAATCCATGGGTGTTGAAACAGGTCATGATTCAAGCGTACCAACATCAGAAAGTATATCCAAGGTATACTTGTGTTGGCAAAGATGAATACCTGTTCGAGAACGAGCCACCTCAAGACCAAGAAAGAATTTTAAATCACCAAGATCTTTTATTTTGAAAGTTTGATCCAGCAGAGCAGTAATGTGATGAATCTCAGCAAGATTATTGCCTGTTAGGATGATATCGTCGACGTAGACAAGAAGAAAGGTAGTTGTGTTGTCTATGAAATGCATAAAAAGAAAATGATCAGAACTTGATTGAAGATACCCATGAGAAGCTAGGAAAGTAGAGAGACGATGAAACCATTGTCGGCTCCCTTGTTTGAGGCCGTAGAGCAAACGTCGAAGATGACACACAAGATTGGGATTGTCGGTGGAAAGACCAGGAGGGAGTTGGATGTAAACCTCTTCGTGGAGATCACCATGAAGAAAAACATTGTTGACATCGAGTTGTTTGAGGTGCCAATTTTGAAGAGAGGCCAAGGCGAGCAACAAACGGACAGTGGTAAGCTTAGCCACTGGGGAGAAGGTGTCCAAAAAATCTAAACCTTCCAACTGTGTGTATCCTTTTGCAACTAAGTGGGCTTTGTATCGTTCAATGGAGCCATCGGCGTGAAATTTAATTTTATAGACCCAGAGACATCCGATGGCTGTCTTGTGGGAGGGAAGAGTAGTGAGAGTCCAGGTGTTATTTGCTTCTAGAGCACGTAACTCAGCCTGCATGGCCTTCATCCAACAATCATGTCGAGACGCCTCAGCATAAGAAGAAGGCTCAGTAGTAGAGGTGATGGAGAAAATAAAATTACGAAAGAAGAAGAAAGGCGAGAATATGATAAAATATAACTGAGAGGATATTTGTCACCCAGCGAGGAAGAGATACTAGTTGTAGCAAGAGCACGGTGATAGTCTTGAAGGTAAGAGGGTGGGTGTCTGGGTCGAGTAGAGCGGCAAAATGTTAGGGGATTAGGGGTAGGATTAGGAGGAAGTGATGAGGGAGGTGTAGAGATAATAGAAGTAAGAGGGGATAAAAAAGTGGGGTCGGTGTATGTGAAAGGAGTGGGGGAAGGAGAGGTACAGGTTGAAGGTGGCGGTGCAGGAGATAAAGATGGAAAATGGTCTTTATAAAAGGTAATATTACGAGAGGTTGTAATGACATTAGAATGGATATCATATACAAAATATCCCTTAGTGTGTGGCTTAAAACCGAGAAAAATGGATGGATGAGCACGAGGATCTAATTTTTGTCGATGGGCTTTGAGAGTACTAACGTAACAAAGACAACCAAAAATACGAAGGTTAGATGTCACATGGTTGACCATAAAGAATTGCATATGGAGAAATATTGTTTAAAAAAGGAGTAGGAATGCAACTGATTAAGTAAGTTGCATGAGGTAGTGCGAAGCACCAAAAATTGTTTGATCACGGCAAGCAAAGCCTTGTATTGTTGTGGTGAAAAACGAATTTCCTGTGACTCATGATGCTATTTTTGATCATTGGTGAGCTTACTATCAATTGTCACCACGCTGTTCGCATTGTTCTTCATATTGTGAAATTTATGTCCCGGAGGAAACCCATGCTTTCTGTAGCATACATCGATGGTATGTCCAGATTTTCCACAATAGGTGCACATTTTCCCACTCTTGACATTACTTCCTTTATTCTTGGCGTCATAGCTCAAAGGAAAGCCATGCTTCCTGTAACAGACATTTTCTATATGTCCAATCCTTCCACAGAACCCACACATGGAGCTTGCTGCATTAATCAAGCTCTCCTTAGAATCTAATCCAGTATTATCAATATTGGTTCCCATTAGCTGGTGTTCCTGTTGTGCAACGTATGAGAAGATTTTTGAGATTGTCGACATTGGATCCATGAGGAGTACATGTGAACGAACATTGCTGTATTGCTCGTTTAATCCTCGAAGAAATTGCATCGCGCGATCTTCAAGCTTTTGTTAGGATATGATGCCAAGAACAGAGCAAGAACATTTGGCAACGCAGGTGCAAACAAGATCAAGCCTGAAGTTTTCAATCTCATCCCATATTACGCACAGTTTGGTAAAGAATTCTGTTACAGAAAGGTTACCTTGCTTCATTGATGAGGCTTCATGTTGAAGATCAAATATTCGTAGAAGATCACCTTGTGAGTAACGCGATTTCAGATCCCGCCATATATCCTCGACCTTGTCCATCCACAAAATGCTTTGTGAAGAGAAACAGAGTGTACGATCCAGGATACAATCATGTTGTTGCAGCGTCGCCATGCTCCGTAGTTTCGATCAGTTTTGGGAGGTTCAGGTGCAGCTCCGTCAACGAATTCCCGTTTATTCTTGGCACTCAATGCGGTGATCATGGATTTGCTCCATGAATGGTAGTTTCCAGAATCAAGAACCGGCGAGACAAGAGCTATCACTGGGTTTTCATTTGGATGAAGATATAGAAAACTATCCATGGTATAGGTGTTTGATTATGTATTTCACTCATGATTGACGAAGAAGATTAGCGAGATTGCGCAGCAAAGCTCTTCACATGAAGAGCTCTGATACCATATCAAAGAACTTGGCATCCATAATGCAAAAACAGAGAAAAGCACAGAATACACACAGATACAGAAAATGATCAAACAACAGCTTGATCTCTTTATTGAGTGAATAGCAATTTATATACAAGAGAATGAAGAATAAAAGCTAACAAAAAAGAAAGCAACTATAACAACCTAACTGCTTTACAACAGAAAATAATATTGCATAACTAATTACGGGTAAGAAGTTTCATTAGAAGTTAGTGTTTAAATTAAGGCAATGTCCTCGGACACAGTACCTAGGCTTCCTGGATAGCATTGTGTTCAGAATTTTCTTTCATTGCAACATGAACACTTTCATGTTGGATTATGTAATTGGATATTAATAAAATGGAAACCGTTGCATTTACAAAATGCAGATTTTAATTGACATGTTGAGTCTCGAGTGATTTTGTTAAACTATATATGTTCACTACTCTTGTTTGTTGGCTTAACTAATAGCAGAATGTGTCTGTGCAGCATGCAAAACCTTAAACCCTAAACATGCAAAACTGCTTGTTCTTTCAATTAATGAGGAAGGAACATTTTTCCCAAGAAAATTGACATCAAGATACATGAATTAGACAATATGCCTTTACAAACAAAGAAAAATTATAGGAATAATATGTTTTGTGTCTACGCTTCTTCTATGCAGCCATTTTAACATGATATTTAAGGCATGGATATTATAAAAGAGTTCTAAACTGAAGGTAGATCAAACTTTATTTATGTCATACAATTATATATAATTCAGGAAACAAAATCATCTTCATCGAAGTTGAGAGAAAGAGAGAGATAAGTAGACGTATATATAAACAGAATTCCATCATACAAGAACTTCGAGGAAAATGGACAAGCCATCTTGAACACAAACAACTGTGCAGGTAAAATATACAACAAGGAAAGAAGTAATATATCTCCATCAAGCTGCAACTCCGTTCTGTACAATTATCTCTTCACCAGCAAAACTTCTTTTTCTGCTATACAAAATCATTGGACATACTTTTATGAGTTCCCAAGCAAGATAGTAATAATTATTTGGATTTTACCTTTTTGAATAGGGGTGTTAATGAATTGAATTTTTTAAAAGTCTAATCCAAATCAAACCGATCTATTTTATAAAAATAGATTGATTAATCAATTCATTTTTTATAAAGTGGATTGGTTTTTTTTTTAAAACATGGATCATATTTTTTAAAACTAGATTTATTTGTATGGTGTGATTATCTACTTTCTATCCATATATGAATCAATTTTTCAAAAATACCAAATCCAACCCAAACAATTCACCTTATAAAAATGGAGTGAATAATCAAATCGATTTTCTAAAATAGACCGGTTCGGATTTTTTTTTAAAATAAAATTAAAATTTTAATATGAATTAAATAGGTTATGAATAGGTTAGGATAGTTTGGATTTTTTCCACACTCCTACTTTTAATATATAAAAGATACAAATATGTTTACTTGCCTCGAATTTGCTTCTCTCCTGACTATCTATGTACGCCAGAAGTTCTTCTTGTCTAATCAAAGCTTCGTATAAAGCCTGTTTAGGAAATAGGATAGATTAGATTTTTTTTTATATTAACATATATTTAACAGTGAATTACAATGCCATAAATACATAATCAACAGCAAAGCAGCGGCTTTAATGTTTGGTAACAAGGATCCTATATTTTATGATATGAAGATTCTAAGCTAAGAATCAGGTATTGAATTGAAGAGCAGCTCTAAGCCAAGCAGTCATCTACCCACAACATCATCGGGAATTGAATTGAAAATATGGTAAGTCAAGTGTATTGCCAAACATTTATTGATTTACAATAAGAAAAGAAAAATGCTAACCTATGTCTTAAAAACCCGACGAAAGAATCAAAAGTGATAAAAAAAAATTAATTAGAAAGTGCATCAGTGCACTATTGTGTGCAACTTCGATAAAAATAAATAAATAAATAATAAATTATATATATTGATTCCTTAAATAGCGTCCTTAGCAGGAACCAATTCACTTGGTGGATATAAGGGGTAATTGCCAACGTAAACTTCAAAAGTTTTCTTAATAAAATATGTATGCATAATTATAAATTGTTTCCACAGTATAAAAATTTAATTCATAATATAAGTATTGTCCCCATAAATTTATATATAAGAATATTGTCCTCACTAAATAATTTTTTGGGATCCATCACTGGGACTCCTTAGGGCATAGTTAGCAGAACCCATAAGAGAGAAAATTACAGCTGAGCAGGTAATTGGAGGACAGGCCAATTCAATGGAAAATAATAGCAAAGCATACAAACTTTTTTCTTAAAATTTGAGAGTCAATAAAACAG